AACAAATATATGAATGAATACTACAATGTAGATTGAATGTACACTATTTTTAAAACACAGTATATAAAATACTATGTACTGAACACTCTAATACTGTATTTTCAAACATATTTTTTAATTCGAAATGAAAGGTATTATGGTTTCTGTAAAGGTTTGCTCAAAACTGATATGTATTTCTATATATTTTCACAAATAGTGTACATTCATTGTACACTATTTCGATCTTAAAACACAGTGTACAAATACCCTAAATAGTGTACTGTACACCCCAATAGTGTAGTTGGTCACAATGCATAAAAATACTAAAATAAATGCTTTATTTAAAAATTACAGTTTATAACTCAAAATAATATTTTATAACTCTCACTCACACTAATGTTTACTACATTTATGAGCCAACCAGTTGAAGGATATTAAAAATGTGTAAGAATTAGGCTCCAATGAGTCTGGTATATAATATAATAAATACATTAGGCAATAAATTTAAGTCTTTATTTTTAATGATAAAATCAATAATATCTTTAAAATATCAAAACATATTAAATATAAAGTCAGTCAAGTGAATCTGCAACGATTATTTGTTTAATAGCTCGCTTATTAATTGTAGCAAAAATCTATACTTTGGCACACTTATAGTTCATTATGAGGTAGCCTTGACAAAACAAGAATATTCTTTATGGCATCAAGAATATTCTTGTTTTGTCAAGGCTACCTCATAATGAACTATAAATGTGCCAAAGTATAGATTTTTGCTACAATTAATAAGCGAGCTATTAAACAAATAATCGTTGTAGATTCACTTGACTGACTTTATATTAAAAAACTTTATTATGAAATACAGCACTAACAGAATAATAATCATAATCGATAAACCAAATATAAAAACATAAACTACTGTATATAAAGTTTATATGAAAATTCATTAAATATCTAAACCTTTTAAATATACTGTATTACTGTGTATATAATTAAATACCCGATAAATATTTAGAATTAAAAATTAGTATACTCAAAATGATGAAATTGAAAATGTTTGTCAAAAATAAATTCAATGACTTTTTAAATGCAAACACCGATCCGTCAATAGCTGTGAATAGATTTCAAACATTTATTACCAAAACATTGATAACTATTCATACGTTTGATGAATACGTGAATCGCGTAACTCGGACCAGACGGACAATTTTGTTGATATTTACCCGGTTTATTACATTTATCGTGGCATTAAGGTATGGCATATTAGCGTTGAATAGTATTAATGAATTAATAAATAATTTACTATGCGATCCCACCTATATCTTTGGTAATCGACGATTAATTTCGTGTATATTTTTCATAACATTCTTAATAATATTATGTATCAGTATTTGCATTCAATACCAAGAGTTACAACAAACATTTTATCCAGGCACCTTTTTCTATAATGTTAAACACAAACGATTAAATCCAAAATTGAACGCTAAAAATAATCGCAAACTAAATTTGCGATTTAACCTGCTGACTAAATATTATATGGTACAACAATTTTATATACTTTCAGTGCAGACATTCATTGTTTCTTTATTACTCTCGACATTGGCTTATTTAGACCCTAATACTGGTTACCCAGCATTGGGTGTATTATTTTGGCTAATATATGTTAATGTAGCATTAATACAATTTTCTAGCCTAGTATCGTTTGGATTTATTGGTGTATTCATTATAGTCTCGTATCTTAAGTATAAATACAGTGAAGTCTACATCAAAATTAAACTAAATATAAGATTTAATTTTAATGTTAAACTCATGCATGACATTGGTGAATATAATTCAATTTGTATTATAGCACATAAACTTAATGAACATATGAAATACATCATGTTTATAATTTATTATATGGTTACTCCTGCTTTAGAAATACTATTATTTCTAACATTTGATAAACAATCAACTTTATTATCAATGTGTATGTTTGGTATTATATTTATTTTGGTAGTTGGTGTTACCTTCCTAATTAATATAATATGTGCATCACTTAACACAACTGCATATAAATCCCTTTCAATACTGTATTCATATATTTGTTCAAAAAATACGCGAATTTCGTATAAAAATAGACTGAAATTAATGGCATTTATGGAGCGATTGTCGGCCAAAGACATTGGTTTCTATTG